TGACCCCTTGGCTCTTACTCTCTCCTCCCCAGGCTGTCTCCCCTTCCCCTGCAGGCAGAATCCACTCTGCTTCTCCTTGACCAGGTGGGGGGGAGATAGTGGCCTCTCCCCCTGCAGAGAGCAATGCACACCTGCCCTCCAGCACGTGTCTGACTGGGACACTTCTCTAGCTGTGTTCATGCAACAGTGCTAGGCCCGGTGAACCAGCAAACGAGAAGTCTGTTCCTGCGGTCTACAGAGCTCCCTGTAGAGGGTAGATCCGACCTTCACAGTCAGGGGAGATGCCTCTGAGAAGCCGACTCTCAGGGATGCAAGAGATACTTGCATAAGAAATGTGCTGTTTTTCTTTTGATTCTTCTATTTAGTTGGTGTGTCTGTGTGCGGTCATACGTGCCTCAGGATGTGTGTGGAGGTCAGCGTGCAGGAGTTGATCCAGCCAGTACCCTGTTAGCACCTCTTGGGAAGGTTCTTCCCACACCATGAGTTCCTCAGTTCCTGGTGGAAACTGATCAGATGCCTGCAGTGTAATTCATGTCCAACACTGCCTGCCAGGCCTCCACTTGAAGGCGCTCTATCCAACAAGACCACTCCAGGTTAAGATGTGGGCCTTGAGACTAGGCCTCCTGTATTTCTGGACAGCCAGCTATATAAATCAAGAGCACTATAAGCCCCTCTTCCGCTTTGGTCACTGGCCAGGCCGGCTCCCAGGGCTCAGGTTGAGAACCTTGGCCACATGTGCTGGTTCCTTATAGAGTACCCAACAGTGTTCCAGAGGGAACAGACAGAGAGACAAGGTCCTGGGGAGATGGTCTGGAGCTTCCGTGCCCTTGGGCACCACCTTCCCTGACAGCTCTCTGACCCCAATCTTTTGGGGTGTTAAGGACACGTCATCATGCGGGATGAGCCATTAAATCATTAGTTATTGGCTAAGGACCAGTTGAGTTTAAGGTTATATAGCCCCTTTCCCATCCTGCCCTTGGCAACAAGACTTCTCCCTTTAGGGACTTTCCAGAAGTTACCCTATTAACACAAGCCCAGTTGAAAGAGTCTTATTATAAAACACAGAAGATGCCCTTTTAAACCTTTGTCACTTAGGAGATAGCAGGGGTATTGGAGGTTGCATATCTTAGTGTAATATGGGGAAGAACACGAGAAGCAGCAAACTCAGGCCTTGAAGCAAGAGCAGTCTGCCTGGCTGGAGCATGTGTGCCTCGGCCCAGAGGTCAGGTGCAGATGGAGCTGGACTAAAGCTTGGGGGCGGGGCATGTAACCAAAGATTAAAGGGATTTTTAAAAAGCTAGCCTAGGTGCAGGACTGTATTTCCCAGCACCGAGGAGGCTGAGTCAGGAGTGCCTAAGGTTTGAGGGAAGCAGCCTTAAAGGAGTTCTAGGCCAGCCTGGGACTTGCTCTGGAAACGAAAGCAAAGGCAAGAGAAATGGCTCAGAGAGTTAGAAGGAAGGAAGGAAGGAAGGAAGGAAGGAAGGAAGGAAGGAAGGAAGGAAGGAAGGTCCACAAATTAACCTCTGACCCCTCCAGGAATGCACTCTCTCTCACACACAATAAATAAAGTGCAAGGTGTGTGTGTACGCATGTGTGTGTGTGTGTGTGTGTGTGTGTGTGTGTGTAGGTCCCTGAGGATCTTCCACTGGCCTTCATTCTCTCTCCAGCTCTGCTCTTTGCTTGGGAGGCTGCCCGGTGCAGGCCACAGGGAGACAGTAGGATGGAGGACACTGTGGTCTGTCGCTGTGGCTTCGTTCCCACCAGGTCACAGCGGCCCAAACCTCCAAGACCAGCACTCCTCTTTAGGCACCTGCTCCGCCGAGGTCTCTCCGCAGTCTCAGGTGACCCGTGACGGGAAAGCCATACAGCCTTTTCTCCTTCCATCCTCTTGAGACAGGGCTCACGATGCTCAAGCTGCCTGGAAGCCGACCTTGAGCAACCGATCCTCCCGCCTCAGCCCCCAAGTGCTGAGGCTTGGAGCCAGTTCTCCCATGTCTGATGTTGAAGATCAGTTTTAATAAAGACACACAGGACAGAGCACCACTGCTCAGTTTGACAAATACATTTTTAACTGTGTGTGTGTGTGGGGGGGTGCTTTGCCTGCGTGTCTGTCTGTGTAGCACTTCTGTTCTAGAGGCTGACTGAGGATGCCAGATACCCTGAAGCAGGAGCTACATGAGGGTGCGAGCTGCCATGGACCACACAGGTCCTTCGGAAGAGCAGCCAGTGCTCTTATGACTGAGCTATCTCTCTAACCCCAAGAACTCATTTTTTAATTCGAGAGGTTGTTGGAAATTTGAGGCTAACCTGTTCTACATACTTAAGTTTCCAGTGTCCTGGGCTGCAGAGTGAGATGTATCTTAATTAGTTAAAATATCAAATTGACAGCTGGGTGGTGGCGGCGGCACACACCTTTAATCTCAGCTGTCAGGAATCAGAGGCAGGAGGAGCTCTGTGCTCTCTGTGAGTTGGAGGCCAGCCTGGTCTAAAGGCCAACTAAGAACTACATGGTTAGGACCCTGTCTCAAATAAATAAATAAATAAGATAGAGAAAATTGTTCTTGGATACACACACATCATGGTTTATTCTAGATGAGCTGCCCTGGATAGTTGTTGATTTTTGTTTTTATTTGTTTGTTTTGGTTTTTGAAGACAGGGTTTCTCTGTGTAGCTTTGGAGCCTGGCCTGGAACTAGCTCTGTAGCTCAGGCTGGCCTCAAACTCACAGAGATCCGCCTGCCTCTGCCTCCCAAGTGCTGGAATTAAAGGTGTGCGCCACCACCGCCCTGTTGCCCTGGATAGTTTTACGTCAACTTGACACAAGCAAAATCATCTGAGAGAAGGGAACCTGAACTTAGAAAATGCCTGCAGAAGATCAATCTGTAGGCAGGCAAGCCTCTGGGGCTTTTTCTTAACAATAATTGATAGGGGCTCGTGGTCCCAGGTTCTATAAGAAAGCAGGCTGAGCAAGTCATGGGGAGCAAGCCAGTAAGCAGCTCCCCTCCAAGGCCTCTGCCTCAGCTCCTGCCTCCAGGATCCCACCCTGTATGAATTCCTGTCTTAACTTCCCTGGATCATGAACAATGATGTGGAGGTGTAAGCCAGATAAAGTCTTCCTTCCCAAGTTTCCCTTGGTCATGGTGTTTCATGACAGCAGTATTAACCCTGATAAGACATGGTCTAACGAACAAAACATTCAGGCAATGTCTCCAGAGTCCACAGCCATGGCAAAGGGTCGGAAGCCTTGGGTGGCAGAAAGAGAAGGGGGGAGCAGAGCCCCCCCTACGTTTAAGCTCAGCTATCTCCTGGGTCACCCCAGCCCTCAAGGGAGGAAAGAGAACTATGTAAATCAAGTAGCTAGCCTGGGGGAGTCTGGAAGTTCATGGCTGTGGTTCTGTGCACACAAGTAGTCGATGCAGTGTCCAGTTCAGAACGGCTTGACCCATAAACCGTCATTCCTGAGTCATGAACTGCTGCCGTGTCTGAGTGAGCGCTGGGGAGACACAGTCTGAGGTCTGGGTGGACAGTTTAACACTCAGGAAACCTGCTGCTAAAGGACCCAGGTTCGATTCCCAGAGCCCACATGGCAACTCACAACCCCCTGTAACTCCAGTCCCAGGGTCATCCTGTGCCCTCTTCTGGTCTCTGTGGGCATCTGGCACACGTGTGGTAGCCTGACATACGTTCAGACAAAACACGCTTACACATAAAAATAAAACTTAAGGGAAATGATAGAAAACGCAACTCTTTCATCTCAAGTCAAAGGGCCATTGCACCTCCCCTCCCTTCCCAAACATAGGCTTGTGACAAAGAAGACAGTATTCTCCACGCTGACTCTGGGCTGGGAACGATGAGAACAGGGAATTGAGGCTCTGTGGAGAATAGCCTAAGTGCCTCCAGCCCAGGCTCTGCAGCCACCAGGGGGCAGCACACAACTGCTCTCGGCACCTGGTTCCCCCATAGCAGGGAGGTTGCTCCACAGCTCCCGGGAGGCCAGATGACCCAGCCACTCCTTCCCAGACTGGGTGACCTGTGTGGTTATCCAGGTGGCCCAGCAGTTCGGGAGAGAGCCCCGAAAGAGCTCCAAGTCACTTTTTCTTCTTTGGTTTTTCAAGAGTTTCTCTGTGTGGCCCCGGCTGTCCTGGAAGTTGCTCTGTAGATGAGTCTGGTCTCAGATTTAAGAGATCCACCTGCCTCTGCCTCCTGATTGCTGGGATGAGAGGTGTGCGCTACCACTGCCTGGCCACATGAAAATAAAGGGAGCCCGAGAGTGGATGGCGAGGCTGGGCCCACGTTTGCACGGCACACTTCATGGCCTCTCCTCCCAGTGCCGTGCCTGGATCTGTGAAGTTCACACCAGGGGATCCTGGCACCGTGTGACCTCGGTTATAGGTAACAAGATGTCTGCCGTTGTGCCTGTGAACACATATGGGCACTTTATAGATTCCCAATAAATGTGGTTAAACCGTCAATAAAATGACAAATGATTGGATTTCCCGGTGGGTAAGTCTGCGGGGATGCCCCTTTCCAGGAAATGCGAAAACAAACGAGCCAAACATATCCATTAACAGCAGCTAGTCCTCTGTTAACACGGCTGGAGAATGGGCCCCTTGTACACGGGACTCTTCCTCTGTCTCCACGGCTGGGAGAATGGTCCACTTGTGCACATGAAGCTTCCAGACACAGTCCGCGGTCTGTGGTCACACCCACCACCACCAATTAGCTTGCTCCTCTAACCTCTCCCACCCCATTTATAGAAATCCTAGGACAGCCCAGAGGGAAAAAGCCAGACTGAGGAGGCACGGAGACAGCAGGCCTGGGCATGGCTGAGCAAAGGGGGCGAGGAGGAGGGCTAACTGTTCTGGGTGAACTGGTCTTGAACCTCAGAAGGTGAGAGACCCACATCCTGGTCTCACCCACCCCCTCTTATAAAATCTGATGGGAGAACATCCTGTCCTGGTACACCGCCTGACCACTAGCTGCCTCCAGAGAGCCCCGGCATCTCCACCAGTGCCATCTCCTTCCGCGGCAGGACAGGCAGACGATGCCGAGAGCCCCGAGCCCTGCGGGTCCTTGGCATTGTGTTAGGCTTCGCTGCAGGTAGCAGGCCATTCTTGCCCTATTAGAGAGCTCTGTGAGGTCCGCCTTGCCTCTCCGCCGGCTGGAGACATGGCCAAGGCGCTGTTGCTGATCTGCATCTTGGTTTATCCAGGTGACTGGGAGTTTTCTTGGGACCCAGGGGTGAGGGAGGAAAGGAAGATGCCAGACTTGGGTGCTCCAGAGGGTGCCTGGAGGGGGGCAAACACTGTGCCCTGGGGGATGCAGAAAGCACTTCAGAAAGCTGTTGCCCATGGCTCTTTCAGAAGACAGTCCTGCTAGATGGCCCCCACCTGAAAGGGTCATTTCTGTCATCCATCCCAGAGCCCCTTTTCTGCTCAGCCTTCTTTCTAAAAAGGTAAACCTGAAAGGCCCCAGGAGAAAGGAGTGGGATAGCATTCTGAGTTTGGCTCTCCGTGTTGTTTTCCTTGTTTGTTTCCTGAGACAGGGTCTTAGCAGCCTAGGCTGATCTCGGATATCTAGTGAAGGAGGACCATGAACTGGTTCTCTCATGCCCACTGACTAGAATGGTGCACCACTATGCCTGGCTGGGGTCAAAGCCAGGGCTTCGTGCACGCTGCCGAAAGAGTACATACCTAGCTCCGGCCGTGTAACCCAGCCTGGCCCTGTCCTTCCAGTCCTCATCTCTTAGCCTCCTGAGTGCTGGGATTAGAGGCTCATACTAACACACTCAGCTGACTTTCTTTCTTTGATGGTTTTATTTTATTTTTATTTTTATTTATTTTTTTATCTTTTTTAAAAAATATTTTATTAATTTATTATGTATACAACTTTCTGCCTCCATGTTTGCCCGCATGCCAGAAGAGGGCACCAGATCTCATTACAGATGGCTGTGAGCCACCATGTGGTTTCTGGGAATTGAACTCAGGACCTCCGGAAGAGCAGCCAGTGCTTTTAACCACTGAGCCATCTCTCCAACCCCTATTTTTTTTTTATCTTTTTATTTATTTATTTAGACAGGGTCTCTCTGAGTAGCTTTGGAGCCTGTCCTGGAACTTGCTCCATAGACCAGGCTGGCCTTGAACTCACAGATTCGCCTGGCTCTGCCTCCCAAGTGCTGGGATTAAAGGCGTGTGCACCACCACTGCCGCCTGGCTGTGGTTTTAATTTTTTAAAGTACATGAACTTATTTTGGAGGTGGAACACGTACTTGCCAAGGCTCACGCAGATCAAAGAATAACCTGCAAGAGTCTGTTCTTTCCTTCTGCTACGTGGGTCCTGGGACTCGAACTCAGGTCATCAGGGTCTGCGGCAGGGCCTTTACCAGCTGAGCCATCTAGCACTCCTGTGTTGATGTGTGCAGTTGATTAGATTACTAAGTTTATTAGATAGGGCACAAATACACAATTATCTCGCAAGTGCTGGGGTTATAGCTGTAAATCCCCACACCTAGTTACTATGATCTGAGAGGAGGGTGTTGAGACAGGGTCTCTCTGTGTCGTCCTGGCTGGCCCGGAACTGTCTATGTAGACCAGATGGGCCTCAGCTCACAAAGATTCTCTTACCTCTGCCTCCCGAGAGCTGGGACTGAAGGCATTCTGACACCTTAACACAGATACACATGCAGACAAAATACCAATGCACACAACATAGAAATAAACAAAATTTTAAAAGTTGGGCTGAGGCTGGGGATCAGCGGTAGAGTGTTTGCCCACTGTGCACAAAGCCCTGGGTTTGATCCCAGGCACGGCACAAACTGGCATTCGGGTGAGCCAGAAATTCAAGGGCATCCTCAGATAAGCGAGTTCAAGGCCAGCCTAGTCTAAAAGAGCTAGTACCAGGATAGACACCAAAGCCTACAGAGAAATGCTGTCTCGAAACAAAACAAAACTAGCCGGGCGGTGGTGGCGCATGCCTTTAATCCCAGCACTCGGGAGGTAGAGGCAGGCGGATCTCTGTGAGTTCGAGGCCAGCCTGGTCTACAAGAGCTAGTTCCAGGAACAGGAACCAAAAGCTACAGAGAAACCTTGTCTCGAAAAATCCAAAAAACAAAACAAAACAAAAAATAACAACAAAAAAGCCAACAAAACTAAGTTTATGTGCATTGGTGTTTTTGCCTGCATCTATGTGTATCAAGTGTACAGAAAACAAAAATCAAAACAAAACCCCCAGCAAACATAAAGCAAAACCAACTCCCATCTCAATAACAATATCAGAGAGATCCCACAATGATGTTCCTTAACTAGGCAGCTACATTCATTCATGAGCTTCAAGTATACCGCGAGGATCAAGTTGAGCAAAATGGTTTCTAGAGACGGTGGGCTGGATATGGGTGGAGTTAGTGTGTGAAAGGCTTTGAAAACTAAGAAATTAAATTAGTGAAGAAAGAGGAAAGGGTTTGCTGAGACACCCCAGGGTGCTTCTTCTGACACACCCCACGAGGAAAGCTGGGGTGTCCTCCAAATGCCTTTCTCTTTGGAGTAACTGGGTAGTGTTCTCTGGATATTTGCTTTCTTCCCAGGATCCTGTGCTCTCTGGGTGTCTCAGCCCCCAGAGATTCGTGTCCAGGAGGGCACCACCGCTCTCCTGCCCTGCTCTTTCAATGCCAGCCGAGGGACAGTGGCCATTGGCTCTGTCACATGGTACCGAGACAAAGTGGCCCCAGGCACGCAAGTGAGCAACATGACCCCAGAGTTCAGTGGCCGTGTGGCCTCTTTTGCCGTTGTTCCTCAATTCACCAGGGACCACAAGGCAGAGCTGATCATACAGGACATTCAAAGCCGTGACTCCGGGATCTATGTGTGCTGGGTGGAGGTGCTAGGCCTGGGCATCGGAACAGGAAACGGGACCCGGCTGTTGGTGGGGAAAGGTGAGGTGGTGGGAGACCCCAAGATGCAATGTTCCTGGGAGTTAAGGGATGTCCCCAGCTCTGAGTTCCTGAGCTCCTTCTGCCGCAGGGACTCCTCAGCAAGCTTCCAGCTCAGAGCAAGCAGTCCACACAAGTCTCCTCCTTCGGGCTGGATTCTACGCCTTCAGTTTTCTCTCTGTGGCCATGGGTAGTACCCTCTATTATCAGGGCAAATGTGAGTTGAGCGGGGGCAATGGTGGCAGAAATGGGGGGAACAGACTGCAAGGAGAGAGCTTCTGGTGCTAGCTCTGAGCAGCAACTCCCCACCCCGCCCCTTGCTGTTTCTCCCAGGCCCCTGTCACGTGGGAACACACGGCGCCCCTCCCACAGCCTGTGAGGATTGAGTGTATCTCAGTGACCCAGCACTGTCGAGACCAACAATAAATCTGCTCCTCCCTCCTCCTTAGGACTCTCATGTATTTTCTTCCTTCTCCAGACACCCCCATGCTTCTCTCCACCCCCACCCCAGCTGTCCCTTCTTCCAGGATTGACACTGAAAGGTCCGGGGACAGACTTGCTGCCTTTAATGCTTAGAGCCGCTCCCAGCCACACCTGCCTGTCCTGGGCGCTGAGGCTATGGCCTCAGCAGCTGAGAATGAAGATTATCAGAGCCGATTTGACCCCTTGTCAATTGTACCTTGGGGACCACTAAGGTTTCCTGGCTTTTGGAGGAGCTGGGGCTCCTAACTGCCTTGCCTCACTCAGTGACAACTGACCCCACCATGGGGAAGGGTTAGCCATGGTCTGGAGACTTAGGGAGAAGCCTGACACAGAAGTGGGGAAGCAGTTTTTACTAGGTGACCTCAGGGCATCTTTGACCACCCGCCCAGGTCGAGGGGGGCACTTGGGGGTGGTCAGGTGGGCTTGTTCTTGGCGATGCAGGCATAGTCAGTGCTGAGGTCGTCCTTCATGCCTTCGTCGTCCTCTCTGTCTGTGACATCATTGCTGGACACTGGCAGCTTCTGCAGAGATGCATAGTGGAGCTCCTGCTCTAGGGTCTGTGCCTGGTGGAGTAGCGGAGGGATGAGGGCTCAGGGTGCCACACTCAGTCCTGCCCTGAGCCCTGCCCCAGCTCCCACCTTTCTCTCTGATGCCTCAGTCTCCTTTTTCCTTCTTTTCTGAAACTTCCCTTGTCCACCCAAGTGTTCATTCTTTAATTCTTTACTCTCACTGATGTTTCTCTATCTATCTATCTATCTATCTATCTATCTATCTATCTATCTATCTATCTATCGTATATGTGTGTTGACCTCTGCTTTTGTGTAGGCCAGAAGGCTCGGACATCTTTCTAATAGTTTCTAATTATTATTGTTATTATTATTTTCTTTCTTTTTTTTTTTTTCAAGACAGGGTTTCTCTGTAGCTTTTGGTTCCTGTCCTGGAACTAGCTCTTGTAGACCAGGCTGGTCTCGAACTCACAGAGATCTGCCTGCCTCTATCTCCCGAGTGCTGGGATTAAAGGCGTGCGCCACCACCGCCTGGCTAAACCCAGGGTTCTGTACACGCTACATGGACGCCGTTAACTAAGCCACACAGCTGGCCGCTTTCCCCTCCTCTCTCTTCGCTTTGTTGTTGTTTTGAGACCGGGTCTCTCTGTGTAGTCCCGACTGTCCTGGACCCCTTCTGTCTCTCTCGTCTCCTCTCTCCTTTCTTGGCTGTCATTCTGGAGTTGCTTTGTCCTCTGCCCTCCTCTTATTGCCTCATTTCTCTCTCTGCCTCTCTCATTTTCTCTCCCCCCTACTTCCTCTTCCCTTTTCTCTTGACTCCCACCCCTACATCCCGCCTCATTCCCTACTTGGGTCTCCCCTCATCTCCCCTCAACCCCCAGACTCACCTTATTCCTTTCCAGTCTCTTCACTGGAAGAAAAAAAAGGAGGGGATTCAGAAAAACCCTCCCCGGCTCCCCCACTCCAGAGCGGCACCACAAAGTGGCTCATCCACCCTAGGACAGAGCCTCACACTGAATGGCACCCTAGGACAGAGCCTCACACTGAATGGCACCCCACCCCAGTTCTCCTCTACCCCACCCCAGCTCTCCTCCACCCCACCCCAGCTCTCCTCTACCCCAGCACAGCCTTCCACAACATACGGCCACCCCACTCCCCACTTGCCAGCTGCCCCGGGAACCACAGTCAAAGCCCAGCCCTTTGGGCACTGTTCTCATCTTTCCTAACGGAGCCTGGCAGGACCCGAGGGACTTCTGCCTTCACAGGAGGAGGGATGTGTGGGGCAAGCTGTGGGTGGCGTGGGAGGTGGTGGTGGGAGGTGGCGGTAGGGCTCACCTCTCTGATGGATCCGGCGCAGGCAGACAGACAGAATGATGACAAGCACAAGAAGGAGCCCTCCCAGCCCCAAGCTCGTGAACTGTATGATATCTGTAGGATGAAGAAGTGTGTGTGAGAGGAGTCTTCTTCCACTGGCTTCCCAAGCCTGGTTAAATGTACATTTCAGTTTCTCTTTTTTCCCTCTTTTTTCTTTCTTTCATCTTTTCTTCCTCCTCCTCCCACTTTTGACAATTCTTTGACAATTTCATATATATACAAAATCTCTTGATCACATCTGACTCCAGCTCCCTCCTTCCTCTTCCCCCACCTTTCTGTCTCTTCTTTCCTGTTGACAGAGTCACTGGAGGCCTCAAGTTCGCTGATCCTCCTGCCTCCCCCTCGGAGGGCTGCCTAGTGTGTATCATGCCTGTTTTCTGTGGTTCTGGAGTCAAAGCCAGGGCTCTACCACCCTGTGGCCATCTTAGATGCAGGAAAATATTCTCTAGGAGATTTTTTTGCTTTGTTTTGTTTTCAAGACAGGGTTTCTCTGTGTAGCTTTGACTGTCCTGGAATTCACTCTGTAAAACAGTCTGTCCTTGAACTCACAGAGATCCTCCTGCCTCTGCCTCCTGAGTGCTGGGGTTAAAGGTGTGTGCCACCGCTACACCACTTTAGGGGTCTCCTATAGTCTAAGATGCTTTCAAACTCCCCGAAGTCTCTACGCATAGAGTACATGAACTTGACCCCCGGTCCTGCTGCCCCACCTCTCTGGCACTGGGACTGCAGTAGACACATACCAGGCCCAGTCTGAGCCGCTGGGGCTGTCACCCAGGGCTTCAAACCTGCTAAGGAGCCCTCTGATCTACATTCCCAGCCCACGATGTGTTCTTTACCGAGACGTCAACTTCTCACTTCCTCTAGAGGTTCATGTACCCCAGGTTACCTCTCACCCCTCCTGACTTCATGCCCACACCCTCCCTGCTGTTTCTGGGGCTTGGGAAGCCCAGCTCTCACCTGCACTAGTTGGTTCTGGGGGGGGGTGTAACCGTGAGCAACACAACCTGACTTTTCACACACACACACACACACACGCACACGCACGAGCACGAGCACACACCCCCCCCAACACACACTCCCATTCCTTCCCTTGTAGAACAGAGGCGTCCCCTACTTACCCTGTAGGAATTTCTTCATAGCCAGGGACTGAGATGAGGCCTGAAGGTCAAGACTAAACTAACCCCTGCTCTGCTGGCCTTAATGGCCTGAGTGAGTCACGTGCCCCCCAAGTTCCCCATCTGAGGCAAGGGGCCCCATTACGATCCTTGTCCTTGCCTGGGCTGTTTCCTTTGTGTAATGTATTATGGTGTCACTTTCCCAGCCAGGGGCCAGCCTGGTCTACACAGTGGGTTCCGGGCCAGCCTGGTCTACACAGTGGGTTCCGGGCCAGCCTGGTCTACACAGTGGGTTCCGGGCCAGCCTGGTCTACACAATGAGACCCAGTACAGGAAGCAAACAAAAAGCCAAGGAAGGCCCAGATGTAATAAGAAGGTGCTTAACTGGCCCCAGCCCCCCATTTCCTCTGCCCCAGGGTGACGGGGATGGGGAGCTGGGGGAATGTGGGGAGAGTCTTGGAGGAGGCCAGAAGCACTGCACAATCCGGGGTGCCGACTAAGGCAGGGCAGCCAGGGTCTGCGTAGGTGCGGGACCCCTGGGAAAGGGGAGAGACGGCACCCACCCCTGGAAAGCCATACTTGGCTGGTGTGAGAAAGTGACTAAGAGTGGTGTGCGGTCTTTAAGTTCCCTCGGGTACTTCACGCCCTTTAATCTGGTTCCTGTTTGAGGGCAGAAAGAGGCCCCTAACATAACCCAAGAACCAGACTCAGGGAAGACAGTTTGAAACCAAGAACCTCCTAGTTTTAAGAGGAATGCCTTGGAGTGTGTGTGTGTGGGGGGCAGGCACAGGGGGAGGGGACTGAGGAACTGTGATGAATCAGGAACAGATTATTATCAGCGGGGTTTTGCTATATAGCCCAGGCTGGCCTGATACTCCCCGTCTTCCTGCCTCAGCCCACAGAGTGCATGACAGGGAACACCACCATTTTCAGCAATAGAGTCTTTTAACATCTCGAAAGTGAAGACATGGGGTGGGGGAAAGGGGATGATGACTCCAAAGATAGGCTCTGAATACAGACGATTGCTTCAGGCTCAGGAAACCTCAGATCTACAGCGACTTCCCTCTCTCTTAGCAGGCACCCCTCCCATGCAGGCTCGCCACAGACGCCTAGCTCACCAGACTCTGGCTTAGACAGGGGACACCTGAGGGAAAAGAAACAAACGTCCCCACCTCGGGCATCTGTGCCCCTCCTCCAGTTCTAGTGTCTTTACCCTGCCTCAGTACCCCCCTGAATTTAGGAGAGGAAGTATGACCAGGGGAAGGGTTACAACATCCTTCCTTTGACTCCTGGCTACCAACCACTAGGGTGGTGCCTCTCAGTCCCAGGCTTTCATTTCACCCTGGGAATGAATGAATGTCTGCCTCCTCCAGGGGCCTTCCATGATGAGTTCAAATTCAGATCCCCCTTCGACTACCTCTGCTTAGGGTTCGTGGTCTTGGCATTTGTGTGTAGGTATATACACCCAGCACCTGCAGTGTCAGATGGAACTCTGGGACATTTCTGGGTACCCATCTTATCCTGGTGCTTGGCAGCCATATGCAGTAGGATATCAGAAGATTCAGAGGCAGCCAGACCAGATCAATGCTTCTGCAGATGCAGGAAGTGGATGACAAGCTGATGCCAGCAAAGATTGAGGGACCCTGGAGCCAGCATTCTGGCATCGAGCAGAGAACCAAAGGCAGTCGTGGCCCTGACGAAGGCCTCTGTGACTGAGAGGGAGGGGGTGCCAGAGGGCTGAACCCCAAGTCTTTGGACAGAGCGAAGGTGGTAGCTAAAATGGAGACAAAGCGTGAGAAATCTGGTGCCTAGGACCCCACGCATGTCTTGGTGACCAAATTCGGGAATTTTGTGGTACTTATTTCCCCTAATGTTCCCCCGCAGAACAAATAGGACACAATTTAAGTGGTTTTCTTCTTTTTTATATTTCATTATTACACCTTATTTTTAATAAAATTTCAAATGCTGGGTGAAGTATTTCCCATTGGTCAAATACTATCCAAGCTTGAAAACTTGAGTTTGTCCCCAGAACCCACATAAAGATGGGTATGGCAGCCGGACTGAAATTTCGTATTCCCACTGTGAGACTGGAAGGGGAGGAAGGGGAATTCCTGGAAGATCACAGCAGTGTCTGGTCTGGGGTCTGCTGAGAAGACACCACCAGACCCTGGCTCAAACAAGGCAGATGCCATGACTAGCACCTGATTGGTCAGGATTGTTCTTGGTACACTCACATGCAAGAATACACACACCAAACACACATACACATATACACACCACACACACCATACACACACCATACACACACCATACACACACCACACACACCATACACACACCATACACACACCACACACGCCACACACATACATCACATACACCATACACACACCACACACACCACACACATACATCACATACACCATACACACACCACACACACCATACACACACCACACACACTTACTTGCACAGTTCAAACATCTAGAAAAACAGAGAGAACCTACGACAAACAAATCTATATCTCAAAAGATTTGTTTTTATGTTTTTAATTGTGTTTGTGTCCATGTCTGTGTAGAGACACTAAAGCAAGCAGACTCATCAGAAGCCAGCAGAGGGCTTTGGGTCCCTTGGAGCTGGAGTTCCAGGTGGTTGTGAGCCACCTGACCTGGGTGCTAGAAGCTGAACTCAGGTCCTCTGCAAGAGCTGCAGTACTCTTCACTGCTGAGCCTTCTCTCCGGCCCCCACAAACTGCTCTTATCACCTAGATCAGTGGTTCTCAACCTGCGGGCTGTGATCCCCTTCGGAAGGTCACAGATCAGATAGCCTGAATACCAGATACTTACATGATGATTCATAACTAGCAAAAATTACTGTTATGAAGTAGCAATGAAATACTTTGATGGTTAGGGGTCACCACAACATGGGGAGCTGTGTTAAAGGGTTGCTGCATTAGGAAGGTTGAGAATCACTGACCTAGATCTGCAAACATTTTGCTTGCAGAATCACACAAATATCTTTTTTTTTTTTTAAGTTTTTCTAGACAGGGTTTCTCTGTGTAGCTCTGGTTGTCCTGGGACTCATTCTGTAGACCAGGCTGCCCTTTAGCTCGCAGAGATCCACCTGCCTCTGCCTCCCAAGTGCTGGGACTAAAGGCTTGCACCACAGTGCCTGGCTCATTCTCCTGCATCCCAGCCTGGCCTCACACTTGAAGTCAAGGATGACCTTGATTTCAGATCCTCCTGCAGGGACTACAGCCCTGCCTGCTGCACCAGGATCTTCTGCAGGGAATGCAGTCCTGCCTGCTGCACCAGGATCTCCTGCAGGGAACCACACCCAGGCTTCCTGCATGCTAGGCAAGCACGCTCCCCAGTGAGCCGCACCCCCAGGCTACTTCTCATATCTTTCCCAGTTGCAAGCATCACTCCATGTTACCTCTGAGCTGCTCAAGCTCAGTATTTGTTTCCTCATTTTCTTCCCTTGCCACAGGAAGATAAAATTTACATATAGTAAAATGCAGAAATCAGAAATTAGTACTGTTTTGCTACTTAAAAAAAAATGAAACCCAGTAGTCAAGCATTCTGTCAATGAGCTCCACTCACATCCCGGACACAGCCTTGTGCTCCTTCTGTGCCCCAGTGTTGTGACTGAATGCGCAGTGTAATAAAGACTGTGGCTGGCAGCCAGCATATTCTTTAGTGTTCCTGTCGGCATTGTCACCCAAGCACATAGTCCCGGCGGGGACACAGGAACTGCAGGGCCATCAGGAAGGGGAGATGACCTGAGATCTTGGTCCAGCCAACTTCCTTACACCTAGTCATCCTTGGGCTCCAGTCAGCTGCCACCTCTTCCATTGATTTGATTCATTAAATCCAATGAATTGCTAATTTAGCGAATGCTTCTGCGCGGATGAGGCGCAGTGTGCCTCTGGACTGCTCTATCAGTGTGTCGTTCCCCACCTTTCTTCTCCAGAGAGAGCAAGGCTGAGGCCTCTTCACCAAGTCCTATCACTGTGGACCGGATGAATCCTGCCTTTCCTATATAGTGTTGGTGGTGAAAATAGAAGAGGCCAGCCATGGAGACAGGGCCATCGCAGGGTCCAGACGTGCAGCTGCCCCGATGTGGCCTCCTACTACATCTCCTAACCTCTGTGTGTGTGTGTGTGTGTGTGTGTGTGTGTGTGTGTGTGTGCAGCCCTCCGTCCAGCACTGGGCTGTGAGGTCCAGGAGCATGCAGACCACATGAAATACCTGGAATCCTGCCTGGCCTTTACAATCTCGTTGTCTGGCCTTCTGCAAGCCCCCTTCCTTCCCTGGGCTTCTTGCTAAGTCCCCCTTCACCTTTACCTTGAAAAACTCTTTCTGCCACATCTCCTTCCCCAGTTCAGAGAACCTAGGCATCCAGCCTCCCCACCCTGACCCCAGCTCCGGGTAAACAGGAAGTTGTGTGAGGGGAGCAGGGGTGTGTGGAAAGTCCCCAGCAGGTGTGTGGGTCTGCAGGGAAGGGGTGGCCCTACCCCTGAGGTATGAAAGCCCTTGTCCCCCGGTTCCTAGTGCTGAGTCTGGATGGGGACACGGGGGCTACAGGGCCCGGGTGGGAGGCCCCAGGGGAGGGGCTGCCTCTTGCTAGCTGTGGCAGGAGCTACTTCCCTGGTCACCCTGCTGTTGGCAGTGCCCATCACTGTCCTGGCTGTGCTGGCCTTGGTGCCCCAAGATCAGGGACGACCGGTGAGTGGCTGCAACAGGTGCCAAAGGGCTGCATCTTCCGTGGACGTTCATTGACCTCTGTGCTTTTGCCTCCCTAGCTCAGCTGGTGGCTCTCGCTAGAGGGCATGTCTGGTTTGTCTCTGCCTGCTCTCCGTGCGGTCCTACCCTGATGTTGCAAGTCTCTTCCTGATACCCAGCGCCTGTCTTGCTGCCCAAAAACATATGTTTTGTTTGCTCTGCCTTCCAGCAAGATGCATGCCTGGCAGGGTGCTGGAGGTAGCTCTAGGGCTGGGCTCTATGCTGGGAGGTGTGGAGCTGCCATCAGTTGAATCTGAACTCTGGGCATTGTGACCCTACCATCCAGGTTGAGAAGATCGCGGGCTCAGAAGCTCAGGCTCAAAAAAGACGGGATGACAGTAAACCATCTTGCCTCT